TGCCTCGATATAGCCTTAATTCACAAGCATTCTAAGTAAAGATGGATAGTGGCTAGCAGTGGAATCCAGGAGGCGCGTTTCGTCCTATTTGTGACTCGTCGGCTGGATGTATCTGCATCTCAGAGTTGATATCCACTCTGGGACTTGAACCCAGTACCGTTGGCTTCAAATGTCATTGCGTTATCCACTCAGCTACTGAGTCCAGATAGCCACTTATTGATAACGTTCCTTATTTACTTCAACCCTATTGATTATCCTGGTACATGACACAACACCCATAAGGTAAATTAGAATGGATGTATTTGCTTTTGATCACATGATGACCTACTAGACATAGTTAATATTAATGCGGTAGCTATAATGAAGACAGTGAGTAATAAAATAGACCAAATATGATCAACAAGTCTATGCTAAATATAGTAACATACTTGACTAAGTATTGTCTGTAATCAGGCAAATAAAAGTGTGTCGTTACTGTCTATGCAAATATAAGAGATAGAACCGCGTATCATCAGTTTTACAGTCCCATAGACTAATAAGGTTATATTTTACTAATCAGCCAAATTTAACGTGACAGTGTACCAGTGCACATCAAAATAAGTAACTACGTCAAAAATCTAAATCATAAAAAGACATTATTTTCAAGTTTCAATTGGTTAAATAACGTATTAAATAAAAGTACATGTTGTATACACTATACTAGCTAACTTAAGTAAGACAATACCCTCATATTAAACAGAGAAATGAATAAATATCTGAATATGGTATTTATCAATTGAACAGCCATTAGGAATTACGGAATACTACATAAGAGTTTTGCTTCAGCGAAGGACACTTCAGTAACGAACAACAACCTTCAGATTAGACAAAAATCTCCAGACATCAGTCTGTCCAATCGAGAACTAAAAATGTAAGCCTACATATTGAAGATTGAAGGTGGAGACTATAACTGACAACAGAACATGGTTACTAGAGGAATAAAAATGTTTTTAATCTACATCAAATGATAAAATTATCAAAAGCAATCCTCAAGATTTTATCATATCATTGAGTTCATTTCAACAATAATCGGAATCTCAGTTTCATTCCTACCAAAGAAAACAAGTATTGAAAAAGTACTGTAACTTATTAAAAGTTACTCTATTTCCAAAATAGAAAACACTTGCTAAAATGAATTAGTAACAGTAAAATCCAATGATATTTCGATAGATATATGTGATTTTCTAGAATAATATTAATTACAAAGCGATGATTCTATCTAAAGGACAAATGGAAACCAAAGTGTATGATAAACAGCTAGTTTCATCCTAGTTTAGCAGTGAGTAATCTTAAACAATTGAGACTACTTTGCACAATCAATCGGTTAGGTTTTTATGTCTGAAATTATTAAAATAAAGTTTAAGAAATCAAACAAGGTTCATCAATACTTGGTAGATATCACCTGAAAAGTAATTAAAATACGATAATGTTCTGACTGTCGCTACTTTATTCTATGATTCTGGACAACTCTAATGGTTAACATCAGTTTATGTTTCACAACAAATTAGAGATCAAATGAAGTTTTTTAACAATTTCATTTAATGGTAAGTGAACTAGTTCTGTTTTAAAACTTAAACCATTTGCAAAATCGGATTATTATAGATAAGAGTTTGAGTTATTTCATTGTCGATATTCAATTATACCAAGTTCAGTAATCTTAGAGTTACGAAAATAGCATAACAAACCAATTATTCAGTCAGTCAACTGGTTCATCTAAATGTGGGTTGATTCCAAAAGACCTTATTGGGCAGACGGCGTAGTCTGTTGTTACGTATGTATGTTGGTTCAACTTGCCATGAGACATTAGCATAGAAAGATGAATTTATCAGGGCAAATTCCAGAGTAGTAGAGGTATTGACATTAATAGTAGTCATAAAAAAAGATTAGTCATCGAAGAAAACGTTCGAGGAGAAAATATTGATTAGTGCGATAGAAAAAGTTTATAGGGTAATTTAGAGACTTAGGATTTAAGGAACGGTAAATAGTGAATGCACCTAAGCCATTGTAAAAGAATTTGACCCAAGTTACCAAAAGTCTCCAACCATAGATTACGATAATTGTGAGGACTTCAACCACATAGTCTTCACCTACATACATGGCTTAGTTCAACAGTCAATTTCTTCGTAGACTCATCCTAAGACTTGGTTTGGCCCACCTTAAATTTCTCCCGACATACTACAACACCGGCTCGTGTAGTAAGTACGAAAGTACGCGTGCCTCTTATTCAAATGAAAGCCTAGTAGAATATTTGTTGACTGGGAGTCTGGGACGTTTAGAATTTTACGACAATGTGGATTGAATTTCAACTTTAAAAATATCCTTTTGTTCAAAACAGAATTTTCTTGCATGCAAAGCTAGTCAGCCTTAATCACTGTAAAGTAATATTTACTTTAATAATAATAGTAATAATAATAATATAGTTTGATTTGTGGAATGATTTCCTGTAGTTTATCTAAAAGTACAATAACAGGAATAAAGAGGAATTCTAAAAGAATGAAATTACTTTAGTTAACGAACAGGTAGGAGAAAAAATGAAATAAAAATAGGTGAAGGTTGAGCAAAAGAACAAGCTACTGTTAAATTACTGTAATAAACCTTATTTCTCCTATCATATGACCTTACTACTCATTATAATCTATATGAATCAAGGTTATTTGAAAATTATTTTACGGAAATTATATATATATATATATATATATATATTCTAGCTGAACGCTTCTAAATCTCCACAGCAACTTAGATATAAGAGAAAACTATGAAACCTAGTGACAAGATTTCATTTGATTTTTAAACTAAATCTAAATGATTTAAGAATATATGACATTTTATATGATTTATTTAGAATTAGATTAACAATCCGATTTGTATAAATTGAATTGAGTCAGTCAGTCAGTCAGCTACAACGTAGGACCAGGCACATATATGCATCGGTCCAAGTTGCCATACCTCAATTGAATTGAGTTGTATTTAACAATAATCCTTCAAGAAGTTACTGTGGTTGAACACATTCACAACATTATATAATTAAGTATCTTTAATCCTTCTTAAAATATGATGAATACATGTCATTATCTGATCAGAAATATGAATCATATGTTATTGGTACTCCAATTGATTAAGATATTACTCACCATATTAATAATTCAATAAAATTATTGAAATGATATCAAACTAGAAAACTAGTCGAAAATCAGAAAGGATCCAATAATAATTTCGTTTTATCATAGTTGCAAGCGAGTTTCCATTAAAGCTAGACACCAAGTGAACCTGGAAGCACTGGACGGCCGTTTCGTCCTATTGTGGGACTCCTCAGCAGTGCGCATCCACGATCCCACCTCGCGAGATTCCGACCCAGGGCCTACCAGTCTTGCGCCAGAGCACTTAACCGATAGACCACTGGGTTCGAGTCTCACGAGGCGAGGTCGTGGATGCGCACTTCTGAGGAGTCCTACAATAGGACGAAACGGCCGTCCAGTGCTTCCAGGTTTTCCTTGGTAGTCTAGCTTCAATTGACTCACTCTTACAACTATGAAAATACTAAATCTCCACAAAATCCCTTCTGAAAATTTCGTTTTAGTTTTCGTTTTAATTTTAGAGTTAAATAGATAACAACAATCTTGATTGTAGATTTTGTATGAGACATGGCTCATAATCGTTTGCAGTATCACAAACCCATTCATTTTTTATGTTCCTCTAGATCATAAATCTCAGACTACTTTTATTACAAATGCCTTTTTATTTCGTTTTCTTAAACAACATTCTCAATATTTACTTTTTCTTATGATTAGTACTACTGCAAGTATTTCGACTCGTTTGGCATTCGTCTTGTTAATCTCATCTCGTTATGCTGATGTGAAATGGGAACTTCGACTAACGCAAATTGCCGTAAGCTCTACATTGATTATGACTGATTAAATCACGATCTTAAATAAGATTGAAACTCAGGACGGTTTTCAGTTCTTGTAACGAGTATTCTGTGAAGTATGATAATAGCTAGGAAAATAAATACTAAGAACAGAATGCAGTGCCTGGTAAAATATCTGCATTATGGTTTGGTTTCAAGGTGATTATAAGGTGCTTTGCAGCTAACACTTTTGTTTAGTGAATTTGATCTTCTGCTGATGTTATAATGCTATTATCACATGACCAGACTAATTCACGGATTCAAACGCTCCTCTTCACCTATTTTGATAACCGGTTACTAACATTACTCTATCATGAACATTGTAGCTTAAAATCAAGTATATAGATATGTACTTATTCAATGAGTTACATAAAGTGTGAAGCGTAACACAAAGGGAATGTATTTATTTATTTCATCAGTAAAACGTAAAGAATTTCTCTCATGTGTATACTTTCCAAATGCGCTAAAGAAGTGAGCTTTGGTGAATATAACTAAGTTTACTAGAGAACAGAATGCTTATATATGAGAACCAAGAAATTATTTATGATTTATGTAGGATCGCAAAGCTCAACCCGATCCTCCGTAAACAGAAATAATTATTTTCCTTTGTTTTATATCACATCAGTACTATTGAGACTTTCACCACAATTCATAGAAATACTGAAAAATGGTTCAATATATAGATCGAAATTGACATAAAACCAATAAAATGACATTTGTGCAGACAATAACAAAGTTTTATGGAGATGGAAATTCGTGATCCAAAGAAACCAGAGGTAGCATCTCAAACTGTGAAGCTGGGCGAAAGAAGTCCGAATGTCATGAGAAGAAAGCACCAGTTCCCTTAAGAATTTAGTAGCTTCCTGATGACAAATGCCTAGCAGAACGAAATCTAATCCTAGAATATCCTGTCTACTACCCCAAACTAATTAAGAGAAATAATCATGTTAAAAATACTTTTCAGTGTAAAAACAACCTCTCCCAATTATCCAATAATATATATATATATATATATATATATATATATATATATATATATTAGACCAATGAGACTTACTTGAGGTGCTTTATGACGAAACTCTTGAATATCATTGTTCAACTGTTCATGTATACAACCATTACTAGACTCATTATTATTCTTAAGACAGATTTCATAAGCAAGTGTGTAAGCTTCATGTAGTTGATGAAATTCAACATTTGTCCTTTTTTGAAAATCATTATTGATATTATTATTATTACTATTGTTGTCGTCACTAGTATCCGCTAGTTCATTCTTTACATCTGGATGTATACGACGAGCTAAATTTAAATAAGCTTTTCTACATTCTTCAGGTGTACTGGATGTTGATATGCCTAGTAATTCAAATGCTTTGATTGCTGCATGTGCTAACTTTATTGAGAAATGGCGCGATATATTTAAAATTGATGTAGATTGATTTGAAGTTCCACTTGTTCTAAACAAAAACATATTGATTTTACTATAAAGAAGAATTGACTTTATACGAATGAATATGATTAAATCAAGAGAGTATATATTCACATATGTGTGCAATCTGAAAAGAGGATTTTCAAAAAAACATGATTATTAGTTGGACAGATCGAAGATTTAATAAAACGATTTAATTTGGATTTTCATAAAGAATAATTTAATCATATTTTTACAGTTTAGACAAGTAGACCATGAGATGTCAACTTAGTGGCCTAAGTGTTAAGCGCTTGCTGTGGAACCTAAAGATTCTAGTTCTAGATTCCCACTCCTGGGGAGCCCTATACTAAGTGCTTTTCTGGGCTTCCTGGTTTTTAACGGTTGTCTGAACAAGGTTGTTATCTGACGTAAACTATGAAATTCAATAATCCCCACAAATCCCCTATACTAATATCAATCATATTTACAATTTCAGACATAAAACATCTACAAATTATCATTATCTTTTGATAGTTGAATGTAACTGACTTACTCCAAGTATCGTCAGCTGATAGTTACCTAAAAAGATACGTAATACGTTTACTAATTAATTTCGGATCAATGTTTCCTGGAAGAATTGGTTGTAGTGTTTCAATCATAAAAATCTAATCAGAATCTATCGATCTTAGAATCTAGTAATTATTAAATAAACAAATGAAGAATAACATAAACTCAATTAAGATATAACTACGTAGTGATACACCTAACTACCTGCCTAACTAACAATGACTTTTATAAAAAAACCTTTCCCTATAATTATTCCTCATATTCATCCATTCAATAAGAAAACTAATTATCATGTGACTTTTTTATATATAAATATTTTGAACAATCAATATTCTGCATAATAATAATAATAATAATAAATAATACTGAAAGAAATGTTTATGTAAAATAAATATGGAGTTAATTTTCTTCGGTATTCTACTTATTTGATTTATACAATCATTGAATGACCTTGTGATTCAATATGTCCAACATTTGTGATAAATATTTGGAGAAGAAAAAGGAACAGAGATGATATCTTACTGATTTTCTTTTTAGTAAAATATCGAATTAAGTATAAACAGGAAGAAGAAGAAGTACAGAATAGAACAAAGCAAAATGCATAAATGATCTCTATGACAAAACATTTTAAAACTTTATTTCAATAATGTAAATTATAATGGCTACTTTCATGCCTTTGAAAATCTCGTCAAATGTAAAAATAATAAATAATAATAACTGATTTGATCAATTGATCGGTTGACTCGTACATAAATCAATATAATCTCATCAATAGTTTTTGAATAGTACGTTAGAACGTGTCAATCCAACAATGAGTTCAGTGCCCATTATTTTGAATATGAATATGGGAAAAAATGGCCTTTATTGAGATGTATATATTAAAGGAAAAATAAATGTAAAAATACCCAACTAGCTAGTTGAAATAAACAATTTCGGCGAGACTATAATTTATGAACGAGCGAATCAGATTTAGAGTAACAAGGTTTGGATTTTGACACGAAATTCACTAATCTATTTGGTTAAATAGCATTTTGGCATTACAGCTGATGTCAGTTCGTCATGAAAACCCTAAATCTAATTTCTCACCCTAACTATCAACTGTAAATCATAATCCTAATACTTCGCACCGCTTTATAACCCTCATTTAGCCGTAGTATGTAGATGGACACTTTCAAGGTCTTTTTAGCGTCGCTCAAAGGTCGTCCATAAATTATAGTCTCACCACAATTTCTTGATTAGTTAAAAGATTAGTAAACTTACAACTAGTAGTACCGAGAAATATATATATATATATGTTCTAATCTAGGGAGAATAGTTATTATGAATCCTTGATATTAGCTAAAGAAATGTTAAAAACTTTGAAACACGAAAAAATCAAAACATCTAATGACTGTTAAAGAAATATTTGTAAGAGTATCAGACCTTGAAAAATTTTCATCTCTCTTTTTCCACCTTAGCTATCATAGTTCTTTACACTTACTTAGTTGATGAGATACAGTACACAATCAATTATGTTTCAGTATTATAAGTGTTAGGTTGAAGAAGTAAATAAATTATCCATTATCCTATCAGAAATACTCAGCTTTAAAAAATGTAAAATTGATCAAGTAAATCAGTAGCTTTATGTTTATTTTTTGTAAACACAAAAATACAATCACTATACTGTTACTGAATAATAAATGAATTCCAGTTTTTCTATTCATCAGTTTGTATGAACACAAATGAGAAATGATTGTTATTTATTAAATGAATATTAGACTTAATAAACAATTAAATATTATGGCTGAAAGCATGAGTCAAATGATGCTAGACCACCAAGGAAAACCTGAAAGCACTGGATGGTCGTTTCGTCTCATTGTGGGACTCCTCAGCAGTGCGCATCCACGACCTCGCATCGCGAAATTCAAACCCAGGGCCTACCAGTCTCGCGCCAGAGCACTTGGATGCGCACTTCTGAAGAGCCCTACAATAAGACGAAACGGCCGTCCAGTGCTTCCAGGTTTTCCTTGGTGGTCTAGCTTCAATTGACTCACTCTTGCAACTATGAAAATACTAAATCTCCACAAAACCCCTTCTGAAATTAAATAATACCTTTTTAGAATTATATTGGAAAGAGTAACGTTCAAATGAAACAGATTTACATAATGTATGGTATAAAATCAACTATACATATTCTATATTAAATGAACCGTATTACATATTTCTGAGAACAAACTTAGTTTATCAATAGTCTAGTTTAAAAAAAAATATTTTTAATTAGAGGCTAACAGACAAGACTCGACTTCATCATTAGTATTGACCAAATTCTATTCAGCAACTTTAAATTATGGTCATTAAGTTAAACAATCAAACATTATGATCTATTTTAGTGAATGTACTGATAAATGATGGTAGTTGATAGAGAAAAACTGTTGATCTGAGAGTTTTATACATTGTAGAAGTTGATCAGTTAAGTTTATATACGTTATCTAGGACAGGACGCTTTATCAGGATCACATAATCAAATGTCTACAATACTGACTAATATATTCTTACTAATTTTATTACTATGATTATAAAACATTTAACGACGAATAATGGTTTTCAGTAATTTTCATAGTTGAAAGCGTGAGTCGATTGAAGCTAGACCACCATGGAAAATCTGGATGCACTAGACGGTTGTTTTGTCCTATTGTGGGGCTCCTCAGCAGTGCGCATCCACGATCCCGCACTCGCGAGATTGGAACCCAGAACCTACCAGTCTCGCGCCAGAGCACTTAACCGATAGAGAAGTCCCATAATAGGATGAAACGGCCGTCTGGTGCTTCCAGGTTTTCTATGGTGGTCTAGATTCAATCGACTCACGCTTTCAACTATGAAAATACTAAATCTCCACAAAACCTCTTCTGTCTTCAGTTATGACAATTAAACGCAACTAAATATGAGATTCGTAAGTAAAATAATCCATATTCAAAGTTTTCTGTAGAAAAAAAACAAAACAAAACAAACATTGAAAATGTTTATTTTTGTAGCCTTAAATTTTAAAAACGAACTTTGTTGTTAAATGAATATTTGTACTAACTAACAGACGACAAAATAGTATACTCCTTTTATTTTCAATATTATAATTATTATATGATGATGGTTAAACAATAAAATATAGTAGCTATCGATTTTTTCTAAGACAAAGAAACACAAACAAAGAGTTAGATATGAACATATATACACACATACTAACACATAAAAACACAAACAAGAACATTGTATGGATAAGACAACCTGAGAATAGATCTACTAAAATTCAATAACTTTAACATACATAAAGATGATTTTCTTTTCTGTATAGTTTCATTAAGAGATATCTGTTATTTCTTGGGTCGAATACATACTATTTGGTTCTTGTACTTTCTCTAAATACACCATTTCAATGCATATACCAATTTGAATGAATGATTTTCCCATAGATTGATGTGGTAAATGATTTCATTCCATTTTTAGCATGTATTAGATCAAGACAGTTAAATATACACTGTATTACACATAATCAATCACTGTGATCTTAGTTTCATGTGTAGTGATCTTGACTGGAGTAATAATAAGAAATGAATGGACCTCGAATTGATCAGACTATAAACTTAGTGTATAATATTTATGAAATCATTATCCGTTAATGATTTGATTATTGTAAGAGAATAAATAGTCTTAGAATTGGCAAAGTGAATATTTTAGTACAAAAAAGGGATATCACATGAAACATTATTGATTCAACTAATTAGATTCATCATTTCTAGAATAATAGAATACAATTTAAGATTACAAATTTTTGTTTGTTTGTTTCCCATTATGTTCCTATGATTTCCATTATTATAGTTGTCTATAGCTTGTTATGATTTATTGAAGTTTCAACATGACAATGGGGTATGAATTAGATTCAATTGTAATTTGTTCAAATTATTCAACTGAAAAATAGAGATGTGTTAGAGATAATGTATAAAACATTTTCTCAATAAAGTTCTCTTGTTCATTTTGATTTTATTACAAACTAATATAGTTAGGGGGGACTATTAAAAAGTAAAGTGTAAATAATAAATGTTTCATGTCAAAAGTTGACAATTATAAACAGATCACATTTACAATTTCATTTTGCTCTATAATAATAATAATGAAGAACTTGTGAAGAAACCAGGAGAGGATTTGTGAATGGAATAGTTAGATCATGATATTAAAGAACTTGTTACTAAATGACAATATTAAGCCGAATCCCTTTGAATGCACATGTGCTTAAAAAGATTGGTCAACTATAGTCATTTAATATTAACAACAGGATATCACAAATAATTTATTTATTTATTTAAACACATAATTATTTATACAAAGGGGCACCAGATATATATGCGCCTCACAAATCTCATTTGATTTGTGTGAGGGCTGTGATACTGCTCAGGTGTCCAAGCCGAAACAGGTGCTTTTTTTAGGAGGCTACACTCGGAACCTTTGACCTAAAGGTCTGATCCACA